TTCTGGGTCTTTCCGGCTTCTCTTAGTTTCCTGATCATCCCAGGCATACTCCTGCTCCAGGGTCTTTGCGCTTGCTGTCCCCACGGCTGGAACCCTGTTGTGATATGATATACCTACTTCCTGTCCTTCAGTTCTTAGCTCAGATGCCACCCCTCGGGCCACGCTCCCTAACCGTACCTACTCAGCCTCCTCCTGCACACTATCTCACCTTTCTCGTGGACCCTGTCTGTCTCATGAACCCAGGCTAGCCTCGAACTCACCGTGTAGCCAAGGATGATCTTGGACTCCTGAACCTGGTGCCTCCACCTCCCTAGTGCTGAGATTTTGGGTGTTAATGATTACACCCAGTGATGGTCCTCAGTTTATGCCGGACTGAGCCCAAACCTCCCTCTTGTGTGCGAGGCAGATGCTCTATAAACAGAGCTTCATGCCCAGCCTCAGAAGAGGTGTGTGTGCCTGTGTGTATGTGTGCCTGTATGTGTGTCTGCGTGTGTGCCTGTGTGTATGTGTGCCTGTATGTGTGTCTGTGTGTGTGTTTTTGTGCATGTGCCTGTGTGTGTGTGTCTGTGTCTTTGTGTGTGTGTGTGCCTGTGTGTGTCTCTGTGTTCATGTGTCTATGTGTGCCTGTGTGTGTACCTATGTGTGTCTGTGGTGTGTACAGGTGTTTTGTCTGCCTGTATATCTGTGCACCACATGCACGCCTCATGCCTGAGGAGGCCAGAGAGGCCATTGGATGCCCTGGAACTGGAGCTACTAAAGGTTGTAAGTTGCCATGTCGGTGCTGAGAACAGAACCCGGGTCCCCTAACAGCGCAACAAGTGCTCTTAACTGCTGAGTCATCCCTCCTGACCCCAGTAACACCTGCTCATGTTTGTCTCACTGGAATGTGGACCCATGGAGGGCTCACCTTGTGCACAGTATGTCCCCAGGACTCCCAGGTTCTTAGTTCTTGGTGCTGACCGGACCAAGCTCCTGGAGTCCCAGCTTCTCTTGCAAGCTGCTGAGAAGAGTCTTTCATGACTAATCCTGCTTTTCCTGCTCTTGGGGTTTTCGTCCAGGGCCAGTAGCTCCCTGACCCTCATGAGGTGCGCACTATTTCCCCTTCCTCCCCTACACAAGCATACACACTGTGCTCTCAAGCTTCTTCCCCCTCCACCTTTCCCTCCTTCCTCCTCTGGTTCCAAGCTAGCTTTTAGGGCTCATTAAGTGCAGGCACTGCCTCCTCCTGGAAGCCCTCCTTGCTTCCTTTCCAGTGAATCCTGTCTTCTGCCCCTAAAAGATCTGGGGCCCTCTGTCTGAAAGCACAGTCCTCTTCCTTATGAAGAACATCATCTTCCTTATTCCTGATCAAGAGAGTTGCTCAAGGGACCAGAACCAGTCTGGCTCATCACCGCGTCCTTGGTACCCAGCCCCAACAGGCGTGGGTTGGAGTGGACCTTAGAAAACATGAGCCTGGCCTAGCCACATCTGAGATTAGACAAGGCAGACCGTAGCTCCTGGCTGTACAACCCACAGCAAACCATTTTCTCTTGCTGAGCATCAGTTTCTTCACCTCTAACATGGGTGGGGTGGTCCTAACTACCAGCATTGCGAGGACTTTTGAAGGTGGGAAACGCTGGTGAGCAGTGGGCCCCTGGGCTTTGCAACTTCTCCTGTGAGCGTCAAGCCCTTCTGTCCTCTGTGGAAGAATGCCCTGGAGTCCTATCCTGAAAGGTCTTTAGAGGTGGGGGGGGGCAGAATGGAGAATGGAGGCTAAAGATACACATTATCTTAAAACTGCAAATAGCACAGATTGAGAACGGAGAACGGAGGTCTCCTTTATTGTACCCCAAAGCAATCTCTTGCCTTCTCCTGAATCCCCCTGTGACTTGGGACTACGTCTAAAGATCACATTAGATAGGGGCCATGTCTGTTCCAAGACTGAACAAAAGCCTTCCTATTCTAGATGACAACCTACGACAGAGACAGGCTCTGAGACACCTCAGAGAGTCGAAATGTGGGTGAGTCCTTTGGTGTCTGTGTCTTCAGAGAGTCAGGCATGTAAAGAAACATGAATGCAGCCGGGGAGGACACATTCCTGCTCTCCTGACCCTCCCCTTTCTCAAATGCAGTTCATATGCTGTGTGTCCTTCCTGAATGCTGCCTGGAGCCGGGTACACAGCAGGTGCTCAATAAGTGAGTGATAGAAGGATGGGTTTCTTCTGGACAGCCACAAACATTTCTGAACACCTGCTGAATTCGTAGCCTTAGCACTGTGCTAAGGCAGGGAGCACTGGCTGGCGGGTATAAAGATCTGGCAAACCCCTTCCCAGGCTCCCTCGGGGCACCTCCGGGTTCTTTCAGTTCTTACCACCCTCAACCAGCTCCTTCTGGGTGCTAGATTCCAAACTAGGGCTTCCTCCAGAAATGAGAATGCCCAGCACCTCGAGAATCCTGATAAGGCTTCGTGGGAATCCTGGGAACCCCTATGGGTACAACTCTTTACATTCTTATAGTCTGCCATGTCCCCTCCACTAGCTCCCAGCAGCCTCTGCTCATTGCTCCCAGACAGTGAACATTGCCCTGTCCGTCGTCCCCCCCCCCCCCCCCAACGCCCTACAACACCCCGGGGTTTTTGCAGAATGGCCCCCCGGTGGCGTGGAGGCTCCCCTCTCTCCATTACTGGACAATAGGCTGCATCCCACCCGGACCCTCTCCCTCCTTTTTCCACAGCCTGGATAAAACCGTGACCTCTGTCTGACCCCTTTCTTTCCTGCTGCTCCAGTAATGGCTAAGGAGACTCCGAGACTCTGGTTGCTCCTACAGGCCCCGGGTAGTCTGAGAAAGGCAAGGAGGTCCTTGGGGGTTAAGCTGCAGTTGGTGGGGTGGGGCTGGTAGGGCAGGGCAGGCAGCAGCTGCAAACCAAAAGAGAACGAGAAAAAGAAGGGGGAAGGTCCCTGGCTGGGCTACTACCCCAAGCAGGTCCAGGTTCCAACAAGGTCCCAGCTAAGGCTCATCCCCAAGACAGGGTATGTGACCAAGGAAATGGATGGTGTGAGGGAGAGGGGCGTCAGTCTGCCCATCATGGCAGTCCTGGGGGTGCAGAGGCTTGGGTGGTATGATCAGAAAGTTCAACAGAACCTCCTGAACCACCTCCCACCCCATTCTCCCCAAAGTCCAGGTAGAAACTTGGGAGGGGGGGCAGAGGGAAGAGTCCTTGGGGGCAGGCATTAGTAAAGAAGTGTCCTACGGCTCCTTTTGCCTCATGATGGAGTTTGTACCAAGCTCAGGGACCTCTATCTGTACGCCTCCATTTTTTAACCTAAGGCCTGGGGATGGATGACCTTGAAGGGACTTTGTTCATCCTCTTTAGGAAGAGATCTCTGTGACAAAGGAGTGTCCCACCCACCCACCCACCCACCACTGAAGGGTGAGCTTTCAGATGGGGGCATGACAAAGCCCTTTGTGTAGGGAGGCCAAAGGACTCTCTCTGGTCTAGCCTTCCTCCCTAGTCTTGCTTCTCTGACTGGGGCTGGGTTAAAGGATGCTCCAGGCTGGGGTTGGGGGCTTTCTGTTGTCCTGTAGGAAAGGATAGCGGGTGTGGGATGAAGGCTTCTCTCTACCTCTCAGACCTTCTCAGGAGTGACAGAAGGGTGTGTGAGGACAGGATGGCATGTGGTTGTTCCAAGGCAGGGAAGAAAAGGTTTTATCAAAGTGTGTTAATTAGCTGAAGCTATCTGCCACATCTCCAGCCCCTAGCACTTAGAGCCATTAGCTAAATCGATGCTCAGAATGGGCATAATGGTCCCCAAAGTCTCTGGAAACCGCAGCCTCTGCCCCGTGTTTCTTGAAGAAACATGGTTCCAGATTGTTCTTTTAATAATCTAGAATGTGAGCAGCTTTATAGAGAGATTTTAAACGCTGGAGTGTTGAAGTCACTCTGGGTAAGGGGTCTGTTGAGTCAAGCCCAATTTTGGAACTCAGACAGAGCATCCTGGGTTCAAATCATGACTGTGGAGGGTCCTTGCACAAAACAACTATCCAAACTGCAGTGGCCAGCTACATGAAACGCCCACAGTGGAGTGGACCTTAGGGGCTGCAGTGAGAATGAAGTCCCATACCCAAGAAGGTCCACAGAGTGCCTGTGTCTAGCAGATGTTCACAGTGCTCGCGAGGGGATTAAAAATAGGCGTGAGAAAAAGAAAAGGCTGGCCTTGGGTCTCAGCTAGACCTCCAAAAAGTCAAAGGAGACCCTCCTCAGCCCCAAAGGACACACGGAGCCCCTCCCCAGAGTATCCTGTCCGTACCCTACTTACACCCCCCGTAGCGTGTGTGTGTTGTTGTGTGTGTGCCTGGGGTGTGGGCTGGAGTGAGAGGTGGGGCACAGATGGGCATCTCCCAAACACTTGTCCTCCCTCTCTCCCCTGGGGAAGGGCCGGGCCGGGTCAAGACTGTGGCTGGGACTGGCAGTGGAGCGGTGCTGCGGCTCCTGCACTGGCCAGAGAGCGGGAGCCGCGGATCCCCGAAGCCCCTGGCTTTCCAGGAGCGTCCAAAAACGGGATCGGGGACAGGAGTGGGGGCGCCCTCAGTCCTCACCCCGCCCCCGCCCTCTCCC